GCCTGCCTCCACGGGCAGCTAACCCTACCTGGGGGAGACTTCCCCTCCCCCCGCCCATGCAGCAGCTAACCCCACCCGGGGAGCCCCCCCGGTGGCAGCTAACCCCGCCTGGGGAGCCCCCGTCCTGCGGCAGCTAACCCCGCCTGGGGAGACCCCCGCCACAGCAGCTAACCCCGCCTGGGGAGCCCCCCCAGCTCACCTCAGCTCCGCCTCCTCCGCTGAGCACGCCAGCACCGCTCTAATTCTCCTCCCCTCCCAGGCTTGCAGTGCCGATTGGAGGAGACTTAGAGCAGGGGCTGTGTGCTCAGTGGAGGAGGCAGAGTGGAGGTGATCTGGGGCGGGGAATGGTTCCCCTGTGCGCCCCCCCGTTACTGCGGGCGGCCCTCCCCACGCACCACCCCCGCCCCAGCTCACCTCCACTCCACCTCCTCACCTGAGCGGGCTTTTAGGCGCCCCCAGCCACTAGACGCCCTAGGTGGCCACCTAGTTTGCCTAAATGGTTGCACTGGCCCTGAGGCAACAGGTTCCCTCCATCAACCTTGGATATTTCATTTTCCATTAACTGATCACCAAGATCTCCTTCAAATCCAACATTACCTGTATACATAATGTGTGCTGATCCGTTTGAGTAGATAGTATTGTTGTATATGAATAAGGTGCTTTCTGCTTGCTTACTTTTGTTGGTATTGCTGGGACTGGGAAAGAAAAGGACCTGGAAAAGTGTTACTGCTTGCATCTTATCAATCAGAAATGTCCTACACTCTGTGTATGTATCAAAAAGAAATCTGTCTGGAAATTAAGGAGGAAATGGTTCGTGTACAGTCTGAGATTTTCCATGGTTGTTAAGTTTCTATAGCAGGACAAATGAACACACATTTCTTTAGCATTCACTAACTGTATTTAAGTTCTTGTGGGAAATGAAATTCAGTGAGACACTATCAGAATTGATCTCTTTTTCTAGTTATGACAAATGATTATAAAATACAACAAATGTTCCTTCATGTTTTGTTAAGCACAGTGTAGAACAGTGCTGTCCCCAATGGCTTTCTGCATTATATGAATGAAGTATTCAATCTTTGCTACTTTCTAGTCAGGAACAATGGAACTGTTTGCTGCTAGCATGAGTGCCTCTATATTCTTGAGACAGAAATTTCTCAGCAGCATCGACACAGCTATGGAACTCACACAGGATCTGAAAGTGAGCACAAACTTTTCAGTCTTCTTGTCCAAATGTCAATCTCATCTCTGTGATCTTACATTTTGTCTCCGCTGCAGATAACTAAAATAATAATACTGGTTTTTAAAAGAATCCAAAGTACCAACCTCGGACAGGGGGGTAAGAACAATATCAAATACATCCTTATATATTTTCCTAATCTATAAGGTTCTCAGACACTCTGATGGGTAGGGTATAAAAGCATAGATTATATAATATATACTCTAGTTTTCCATCTGGCGAAATGGAAGAAATTTACTTTTATGGAATTTAGGCAAGAAATGTTCATTACATGGATGTAAACCGTGTACCTGTTTTGGTAATCAGATGGTGATAACTTTCCTGGAAACTGTGTATGATGACATTAAGGCACTATGCAAGCAATACATGTGAGTGAGACTAAAAACTCAGTGATTTTTCTGCCCAGAAACTCCTTGCAATTTAAACTTCTTTTTTCCCCATCCTGAGACAAACTGTTTAGTATTCAAAATACAAGGAATTGTCTTTTTGATCTATTTGTGAATGGCATTGAAATTCTATGCTATGCTTCCATCTATCATTTGTAGAAATACTTGATATCATGTGACAGTTATGTCACTGTACAATCTATATTAATAGCTGCCTGTTTACTAAACTTTAATGGTAATAAAGTAGGAGCTGGATTTTATAATGTACTATGAGAATTAATGTATAATTTGATTTCATCCTGTCAGCCACCCTTTTTGAATAGCAGAAAGGAATGACAGACCAGAACAATCCTTATGGTCACCCTTTTGTTTTAGGATAAGTTATAATGTCTACTATGGTTTCCTATATGTATTACAAATTAGGCACTCTAGTTAAATATAAATTTCTTTGTTTTAAGGTTTAGTAAGTAAGAGACAGGATTCTCTATTGTGTCTATGTTAAGTAGATTAGAGGAACATTGAAGACCTGGGTCTCAATGTAAATTGTCTTGGTTATTGATTGTAAAACTTAGTAAGGTTTAATTTGCAATGCCTCTTTGCTAGATATAAAATACTACTGTTTGTATTCTCAATTTGTTTGTGTGAATGAGGAATGTATTCTGACAAAGTTCCTCCTCTACCTTGGTGGGTCCTGCGCTTATTGGAGGATTTGCTCGCTTCACAGATTCACCCTGTGGGTCAGGAAACAGTCCAGAGACCTTCCCCTCTGGTAGAAGCTATAGTCCAGGTCAATTCCTCCTGTGTTTGATCAGGAGTTGGGAGGTATGGGGGGAACCCGGGCCCGCCCTCTACTCCAGGTTCCAGCCCAGGGCCCTGTGGACTGCAGCTGTTTAGAGTGCCTCCTGGAACAGTTGCACAACACCTACAACTCCCTGGGCTACTTCCCTATGGCCTCCTCCCAACACCTTCTTTATTCTCATCACCAGACCTTCCTCCTGATGTCTGATAACGCTTGTATTTCTCAGTCCTCCAGCAGTATACCTACTCACTCTCGGCTTCTTGCATACCTCTTGTTCCCAGTTCCTCACACACACTTCCTCTCCCTTGTCTCCCCCTGGCTTGACCGGAGTGAGCCCTTTTATAGCATCAGAGGGGCCTTAATTAGAGTCAGGTGCTTAACTGCCGCACCTGACTCTTAGCAGGTTAATTGGAGTCAGGTGGTCTATTAGCCTGGAGCAGCCCCTGCTCTAGTCACTCAGGGAACAGAAAACTACTTATCCAGTGGCCACTATATCTCCTTTCTGCTACTCTGCTGTTCCCAACTGGTCTGGGTCTATATCACAGTATGCATCAGGAAAAGATAAGGTGTGAAGGCCATTGTTATAGCCAAAGTCAAGGAAGAAGGAGTGAAGAGACTTAAAAGACCTCAAAGAATCATCAACATGCATCCATAATGAAGGGCAGATTGACAACCCCGAGGTGAAGGCTGGCACCCCTAAGGACAATTGATTAAATCGGAACAAAGGACAGGATGACCCTCTTGGAGGTGTATTGGAATGTTTACACCAATTAAGAAGTAACTGGTCACAAACTGACACAGCAAAATCCATAGGCTTCAATAGAGAAAAAAAACCTATAAGAACAGGGTGCTTGGCCATGGGACTTTGGGTTCATCTTGACACACTCCAGGAACATCGGATCGTGACCGATAGAGCCCCACTGTCCTCTGCGACCAATCTGGCTGACCACTAGATTGATCCAGACTCTGGACTGGTAACTATAAACATCACTGCAGGACTGTGTGTGTGTGTGTGTATGTGTGTGTGTCCCCAAAAAGCATATGCTAACTGTGGTATTCTCAATAAATGCTGTGCGTATTTACCTTCCTTTATCGGGGCGGCTCTAGGCACCAGCAAAGCAAGCACGTGCTTGGGGCAGCCCATTTGCAGGGGCAGCAGGGATCCAGCATCGGAGCTGAGAACCAACAGGGGGCCTTGGGAGCTGTAGTTTCTTGGTTAGCTCCCTGCCTATAGAGCCAGCCCTGGAGCAGGGAAAGAACTACATTTCCCAGCATTCCCTTGGCCACTATCAACAGGAAAGAGGGGGAGGGAGTGAGGTAGTTGAGACCTCATGCTGCAGTGAATGGAGAGCTGCACTGTGAGCAGGGATACTATATTTTAACATTCAAAAAATAGGACACTCCAAGGGGAGGGAGGGTAGCCCCACCCTGCCCCCATCCACTCCCTCCGACTGTCCCCCACAGAAACCCCAACCCATCCAACCCCTCCTGCTCCCTGTCCCCTGACCCCCCCCTCCCGGGACCCCTGCCCCCCAACTTCCCCCCAGGACCCCAACCCCTACCTGTCCCCTGACAAACTCCTGGGACTCCCATGCCTGTCCAACCGCTGCCTGTCCCCTGACTGCCCCCCAACCCCTGACCCATCTACC